TTGCATCAAATTTTAATATTATCCGCCATATTGGATCCTTCATTTTGAATTTTTTTAAAGTTATCTCAGATTCGTAATCAGCGACCCCAATAACCCCCGAGTAACAATTTTTATGCGAATCTGATCAAATTTGAAAATTTTGAAACAAACTATTTATTTTGTTTGTTTCCATTTATTTATTTATAATGCTGTATTGTCTTACAAAATTTTTAATTAAAAAAGGCCATACGGCAATCGAAACTACATATCCCAATCTGTAATTATTTAAAAAGAATGGTCTTTTATATTTAAACCCATTTTGGTCAGAGGGAGGTGTCCGTTTTACATAAAATGACCCAAAAGTAAAAAATTTAGTATATTAAAAATCCCATGTTTTCTGGACACGTAAATATAAATAAATAAAAATATATATTCCAAAAATTGACATAATTAATTAGTATGCATTGTACATTTACGTTTAAAAATTTCTTCTCTTCATGATAATGAATTTTTTAGTTAAAGGAACTCTTGGTGTGGGTCAATGACCAATGAGTTAATATTTGACACGAACAGTTGTACCAATAAAGAAGAAATACTGGGACAGAAAAATTAGTTTCAGTTAATGCTATTTTGACGTGATGTGCAGTATAAATTGTAAGATTCTGTTTTTATTAATTCTAACGACAAAGGCAATTAGAAATGAACCTGTCCTTCTGTTTCCAAAAAATACACTTTTACAGGTAGTAATTTATTTTATTACATTATTAAGAAGATTGCGATATAACCCTCACAGCATCTTTAAGTTTTCCTTTAGATATAATTAAATCAATTCTAGAAATGAAAATGATATTGTAAATTAAATACAAACAATAAAATATCTCAAGGATATCAATAATAAGTTATTCCAAATATGAATACAAAAAATTATGATATTTTTTTGTCACTGACTGTGAGTTTATGTTACCTACACTACCGTCTGAATTTATAGCTACGACTTTTTTATTAAAACAAATGTCATAAAATTAACAAACATACCATTCGGACCCTTATTATATTCTACGTTAAATGGTTTGTAATTGGAAATTTTAATAAATTAAACAAATATTTCAGCAATAAAAAAATTTTTTAAAAATTTTTAAATTGAAATCTCAATTTTTAAATCTCTGTCATATTTTTTAAAAATTGCAAAAAAGATTTAAAACTTATGTAGATTAGGGTGGTTCTTCTTTTGGAAAAGTTGGAATTTTTTAGGTCGCTGGCCGGAATTCGAATTAAAATATGACATATAAAGCTGCGTACAAGAACAGCCCATTTGATAAATATTTACCCGTGCAGCCGAAGGGTTAAAGTTTAGATGTGATTTAACATGGGTTTGGTGCACTTCTGTAAACTTTGTATTATAATTTTTCCATTTCTTAAAAATTTGACTTTCCATTATGTATTCTAATAGTTTTTAGTACTCCGAAAATGAATATGATGTTAAAAATAACTTCTGACAGCTACTGGTTGTCAACTTCTATAAAATTGAAAACGAATTAATTCAGGATTCAATTCAGTTTCTTATAAACTAAGTTTTGATTATTTTTGTGTCTTTATCAAACAGTTTACAACAGTTTACAAAATTAAGTTTAGGATATTATATTATATATTTGTGACAGGGAAACTTAAAAGGGACATACGGTTCAAAAAACTCAATTTTTTATTAATTAGGTAGTGATTCTAATAGAGACAATTTTTTCCTATCAGAATCACTAATTAATAAAAAATTAATTTTTTTAACCGTAGGTCACTTTTAACTTTCCCTGTCACATATGTAAATGAACTAAATTTACCCACAGAAGATAGATATAAAATAGATATAAACTGAAATTTTCACAAGAAACCTTTATGTTCGTGTCAGTTAATGTAAAAGTCGTTAAAATCTTCATTTTTTAAAATTTGACCGGTGACCTAAAAAATTACAACTTTTCTAAAATAAGAACCACTCTAATGTAGGTGTCATTCTTCAATTCTTAACTTTAACTTGATATCAAAGAATTAAAAAAATTTCATTTGGTTCGCGTGATATCTTTATAAGCGTCCAAGCATTTTCAGTTAAAAACCGTACGAAATCAACTAATTCAATGCATTTGTACATAAACATGCTCTGACGTTTACAATGATATCTCGCCAACAGAAAAGAGAATTTTTAACTTTTTTGGTTTTAAATTAAAGATGAGAATTGAAGTATGACATCTATATAAGTTTTTAATTTTTTCTGCAAATTTTAAAAAAAATTTTTAAAAATTTAATATTTTTCAAATATGTCAATTACTAAAATCTTTGCGTAATTTATTAAAATTTTCAATGGTCTGATGTTTAAAAAAAGAGCTTTTTTGTGAATTTTTATGAAAGAAACGGTAAAACTTTATATGTTAAACACCAATATGTACTTTCTTCAAGTTGAAGGAAATTTATTTTCTTGACAAAGAGAGAAGCAAAATGTTCTTGAAATAAACAACTGGTTTCTATTATGTCCAGCTAACATTTGGAGGCTCAACTCCTATCGAAATGAGCAAAAGAGGAGGTCTAGTATTCTCATCTGGATACCAATTCAATTATGCTCTGCCATGGAATGCCTCTCAATTCGAACACTTGACTGTATCAGCTAGACAGAGCCGCAATTTAGATCTACAAGATATATATTCCTCTCTTGAACAGTTACTGGAAAGGTAAATGTAAATGTATGTGAATACTTTTAATATTTTCATCTTCTCTTCTCAACATATACAGTTTTCTAATCATGTGACACAACTTTCACATAAAATATTATATCTCCTAACCAAAGAATATAAAAAATTAAATTTTGGCGTAACGTAATCTTCAAAATGGAGGACACGAATAGGGAATTTTAATTAACGTCCCTTATGTGTGTTGAACGCAATATCAAATTTAAAGTACAAAATATTTTAAGGATACATAACATAAATATTTTTTGCAATATTGATAATCTAAGAGCAAAACAGCTTTTGAAATGAAGATTAAAGCGCTTTCCAAGGTAAGGTTGGGAACCAGCATGCATATAGGTATATATGTAGTCACGAAATAAGGCTCTTATATTTTTCTCTATCCACTAAATGGATAGAGACTTGTATCAGATTGTCTAATTCCAAAGTCTTCCATAACTCCGTTTTCTCGCACTAGCAAAAAAAGTGTTTAATTTGCCCAATTTAATTTAGTCATAATTCCTTGACCTAGCCATTCTCATCAACCTTATAAAATACCGTCTTGGTAGCCTATTATTATCCATATTATTAATTTTTTTAACAAAGATAGTGTTCGTGAGAAGATGGTACAAACCAGACAAAAATGTCCAACCTCTAAAATTAAAAATTGACTTATATTACTGAAACCTCTACTTTTTCTCTAACCCCACTACATTTACGAACGCGCACGCAAATTTACCCTCACTATACATTGCGCACGCAGAAATACTTAATATGCGCTGAAGTCATGCACACTAAAATTAAATGGAATTTTTGATATAAATTATATGCGTAAATTTAAAAAAAAACATTTTTCATTTAAAAATCTAATTTGATAATTTTTATACCCTTAATATACTTCAAAAAGCTCCATCATCTAAAATAAAATAATATTTTCAAAATTAATTAAAATTTTTTTAGAACTTTTCAACTAAGTTCCTCAAGATTGATGTCTGTAACTAGAAAATCATCATCATCCTCATAATCATTATCGCTGATGATTATCGTCTTCCATACACTATCATATAGATCGTCATCGTCTTCCTCATAATTATTATGAGCGAACTCATCATATATTACGATCACAGAATAATTATCATATTTATTATCATCGTCATCATCAATATCATAATATTTATTTTCTTCCTCTAAATATTGATCATTTGGTGAAGGATTGCTTTCGTTCTTTTTTTAAAGAAAAGAAACTATTTTCGTATTATATCATAAAATTAACATTAGAAATAAAAAAATAATTAAAAAAATCAAACTAAACAGAAAGAAACGATATAAAAAGAGTAAACTGATAAAAACGAGAATTTGGAGCTGAGTTTGTTAATGGCGACGGGTTCGACATTTATTTATTTAGCGTTGAATTTATCGATGTCGTCCGGCTTGATATTGATGAAGACGAAGAACTTGATGATGTTGATGAGGAACTTGATGATGTTGACGAGGAACTCGATGTTGGAGATTGAGGTGACTCTTTTAATTTCTTAGGAGATGAAGGTGACTCTATTATCTTTTTCGGAGAAGGATTGTTTTCACAATTAAAACACATTCATCAACCGCTGTCCATAGAAAATTTTGGCTTTGGGCATTTTCTAGTTCTACTGCTAGGCGATTTGCAAAACGTGGTTTCGAGTAAGACGCGTTTGAAGTTATAGTATATTACATTATAAGGGCAGAAAGTTCGAAATTCCTGCACTGCGCGAAATGATGGCATTATCGCGTAGTTTAGGGCTTTTGAATTTCTGCCCGTGTAATGTATACTATTTTTCTTTATATACGGTCGAGAAAGTACGCTGGGTAATTTATTTTTTAAGAAAATTGCAATCGACTTTCATTTGACAGCCGGCCATCTTTATTTACTTTTGCTCCTCGCTTCAACGCCTCTAGCGGACACTCGTGAAGCTCTGGTTTTTTCTCTGTCTCTCACTTGCAAACAATATTCGCCTGCCCCGACATTTGATGCACGAGCGAAGCGAGTGCTTCTGGTCGGGGGCAGGCACGAAAAAAAATGTGAAAGATAAATTAATATTATATTTTCAAAAGAATTTTTCTGGTGGTACAAAATTAATTCTATGTTTCTAAAATTCTAAACATTCTAATGAAAACACTTTCATTATTTCTTCAAATTATTACAATTTTATAATAACATTTTGGCACGTATTAAAAAAGAAATTACAAAATTATTAATTATTTTATTTTTGTTTTTAATGTTTATTAAAATAATTTTTGAAAATAATTATATCAGCAAAAGATTTCGTTCATTTCAATATTCAGAGCTTGTGGATAATAAATTTATAAAGTATAAAAAGTTTTCTTGATAATTTTTTTTCTCATTTTATATTGCGATAACAATTACTCGTTAAATTGTCATTGAACTCAAAATTTTCTTATTTACCGACAGTGGTGTTTTTACCGACAGAGAATTCTTTTACTCCCGCTGTAATAGAGGTTGGGTATGAAAATCAACCAAAGCACAAATGTTTGACTTTCTGCTGCGAAATCGCAGCGGGAAATACGTACTTTCGACCGAGGTATGAAGAAAAAATTTTTTATTTTTAAACTTCAGAACTTCACCAGAAAAAATAATGTTAAGAACATTTCCAAGTTGTTTTCATGAAAGGAAAGTAAAGAGGGTGGTAGCGGGAAAATGAGCAAGTGCAAAAAAATTTCATGGTCATATTCGGTTTCAGCGACCCACAGTGGGCCAGAAATCTAAAAAGTTGGCTAAAAATCAAAATTTAATTTCATAATTTTTATTTTTTAAATAGTTGTAGTAGTACTACTGGAGTTATTTAAGATCATTAGAAGGGTTAGAGTTTTAATATAATGCCTTCCTGATTCGTTCATTTAGATCGCGCACGATAATTGCACGTTTTGCGAAAAAAGCAGTTTTCTTTGTTAGTGCACAGTATTCAAATGGCCAATTGACTAATTTTAAAACCTTAAAATGGATTCATCTTAGAAAACTAAGTATTTTCAGAGAAGTATTTGTTTATAATTAATGATAAAAAGTTTTGGACAATTGAAGACATTAAAATTACATAAAATAATTAATTGAGATCGCAAAGTTTTCCAATAAAGATTTATAAGTTTAAAGTTTTGCGAAGTATTTCCAAGTCTGATATACAAAAATGTTCGTTATACGCACATTTAAAACGTGTGTGAATATTAGTTGCCAAGACCTGCCAAGATAAGATAGACACACACTTGAATGTGAACAAACACGAATTACAAAAAACGAAGAAAATTGCCTAAAAGTGAAAAGAGCAAACAATTGTCAACAAAAGCACTTTCTTAATTAACCCGTTGATTGTTAAACTATAAAAATTAAATTTACAAGCTAATGTCAGTGTATTTAACTATATTTGATTTTATCAAAAATTGGCTTATTTTTCCAATTTTTCAAAACATAATTGTTGGAATGGCAATTATTAATGCAATTTGAATGAGAATTTGGCTTATTTGTCCAATTTTTAAAAAAAAAATTGTTGGCATGGCAGTATTTTTTAAATTTAACATTTTTGTTTGTTTTACATGCTATATTCCGCTTTATTTGATATGTCACATGTCATAATTTTATAAAAAAATTGAATTTGACAAAAATTTGTCATACGACATGTGTCAAAGATAAAATTTAATATTTTGATTCGTTTTATATACTACATTCCGAGTGTTTTGATACGTCACATGCTATACTTTAAAATAATTTTTTAAACTTGACAGTAAGTCGGGACGGTCCCAGGGATAGTGATCCGATAATGTCCCTGTGATGATGATCCGTGACAGTTATCGTGATACTGATCCGGGACCGCCCTCGTAACAATTTCCGTGATAGTGATCCGGGACCATGCCGTGACATTGATCCATGACAGTTCCCGTGATAGTGGTTCGGTACAGTCCCGTGATAGTGATCCATTACAGTTCCTGTGATAGTGATCCTTGACAGTTCCCGTGAAATTGATCCAAGATTGTCCCCGTGATGATAATCCGTGACAGTTTCCGTGATGATGATCTGTGACAGTTCCCTTGAAACTGATCCGGGACCATTCCGCGATAGTGAACCGTGACAGTTCACGTAACATTGATTCGGGACCGTCTTTTTAGACAGGATTATCACCGTTATAGTGATCCGTGACAGTTGATGTGACAGTAATCCGGGACCATGCCCGTGATAGTGATCCGTGACATTGATTCGGGACCGTCACTTTGGACGGGATAATTACTGTGACAGTTCCCGTGATAGTGATCCGGTACCGTTATCGTAAATCGACCCCGTGATGATGTTCCGTGACAGTTTCCGTAACATTGATTCGGGACCGTCTTTTTGGACGGGATTCTTACCGTTACAGCGTGACATTGATTTGGGATTATCATTTTGGATGGGTTAATCACTGTGACAGTTCCCGTGATAGTGATCCGGTACCGTCCCCATGATGATGATCCGTGACAGTTCTCGTGATGATGATCCGCTACCGTCCTCGTGATAATGATTTGTGACAGTTCCCGTGAAACTGATCCGGGACCGTCCATGTGATGATGATCCGTGACAGTTCCGGTGATGATGATGATCCGTGACAGTTGCCGTGATAGTGATCCGGGACCGTGTCCGTCATAGTGTTCCAGGACCGACCCCGTGACAGTGATCAGCAACCATCCCGTGATAGTGTTCCTGGACCGTCACGCGAGATTATGAAAATATCTGAAAAAATGTGCAATGGTTAGGAATCGAAACCCCGACCCTTAGCATAGCAAGCAGGTACACTATCCATTATGCCACCATCGCTATGGAAATATTTTTTTAAAAAATCATTCATATTCCACAAGGGAAGATAAACATTCATTAAATACTGTAACCGTGACAGTGTTCCGTTACAGTCACCGTGACAGTGATCAGCGACCATGCCGTGACAGTGATCCGGTAATGTTACGGTGACAGTAATCCGGGACAAATCTTGAACCCCCCCTCCCCCTACGTCATGTCACACACGTAAATTTCACTGTAAATTTTATACATTGGATAAGATATATTATATCTTACACTCTAAATTATTAAATCAGTTAAAAACACCTGATTTAGAAGCAAAAAGTCAGTCACTAATTCAAATAGTAATATTTTTTTTGACAATTAGTTAAAAATAACTAATGTTTCAATACGATTGTTTTTGATTGATTCAATTAGTCACGTTTAACTACCTACATAGCACCGAAACTTTTCTAAAAATTTACTAAAGATTTACTCGCAAGCTTCGAAATATTTAAATGCAAAGTTTAGTAAAAATTGTGTAAAGATTTAAATATCCCCCACTTCAATAAATGTTTAGCGCGAAACTTTCCTGAAAATTTAACTTAAGGAGGAATGGTATAGAAATTCAAAACATTCAGAATCTTTTGATATTTTGGGAAATGATTTGCTTTTATATAATAAAGTTACCCACCAAATTTCAGAATTTTTCACTAAATAGTTTACAAGTTAAAAATTATTTAATTTAACATTACCTCTTATGGGGAAAGCACGAATTTGCATGTTTATCATTAAAAATTTAATACTTAAAACATTCAGAATTTTTTGTAAAAATTGTATCTTGAAGGTCAAGATTTAAGCTTTATTAATCACGAAGGTTCTTTTTTATTCACTAATTAGTTTAAAAGTAATTAATAAGTTTCTGGAAGAAAACTAATTTTATGACAGACAAACAGAGAAAACGTGGCAACACTGCATATAAAAACTCACATGTGACAGCTGTTTAGTGGTACATAGAACCAAGAGATGGCGCCAAAGGTACCAAAAATGACAAATTTTCATTATTTTTAACCACAGAAATGCAAATCATAACACTTGACACTGTTACCAACGATCAAAAAACAAACTATTTGCATTGCGAGGTTGTCACGATTAAACGCCCATTACAAATTGTTATTTGACAATGTTTATAATTAATAACATTAATATTATAGCATAATAAGACACATATATACGTAATAATAGCATTTTTTCAAAGTTTGCAATGGAATACTCGATAAATCCGAAAATAATTTTTAGAAAATTTCAGTAACTTTTATTTTCTTAGGTTTTAAATTCGTACAGACAGTAACAAAAATTATTTTCTGCTTTTATAAAAAAAATTAATTTCATTAATTTATTATCTTTTCCTTATTTAATATATACTTTTTAATATTCATTGATGTCTACTTTTATGATTTCAATAAGAAAAACTGCTATATGTAGCTTAAATAACAAAATTACAAATTCCCCTAAGTGTCACAAACTTTTGGCCCGATTAGGTATACCATTCCTCCTTAAATTTTCAGGAAAATTTTCACGGAAGTATAGTCGAAAATGCAATTTAAATGTTCAGGAAAGTTTCAAGCTTTATTTTTAAGAAAATTTGACGATATACATTTATTGGAGTGAAAAATTTAAATCTTTACACAATTTTAAAATAAACTTTAGAAGTAAAATTTTCGAAGTATGCAAGCAAATCTTTAATATACATATTTAGAAAAATTTCGGTATTTTGTGGATAATTTTTCAGTTATTTTTAACTGATTCAGAAGCAAAAAGTCAGTCACTGCTGATTGTCAGTTAAAACCATAATTTTTAACTGATTCAAATTAAGAGAATATATTATTTATCATTTTATAAATAATATGACAATAGATGTTAAAAAGGTAAATAATAGATATTAAATAGTTTAAAGCATTTTAAACTTGTTTTATTTATAAAAAGTGACATTGTCACATATAATTTCTTATAATCTTTGAATTTAATAGATTGTGACGTAACACATGAGTTCATCCCCTTTCCCCCATGTCACACTTAGTCACAATTCTCAGACCCCCTCCCTCCCCCCAGCTGCGTGACGTATTATGTGTACGGCCCTGTAAGATTTTTTATGTTAAAAAAATTCAACACAAAAAATTTAACATAATTTGATTCCTACATTAATAAATATATCATTTTTATATAATTGAGGGGCTGGATGCTATAAGGGTATACGCGTGGATTCTGACGAATAGCTTGTCCAATAGGTCCATTTTTAAAAGTTTTTTAAAATGAAATTTTAATTATTGTTGTAGAGAATAAAATTCTACATCTTTTTCTTCTATAAAAATTGTTATATTTTTTTCCTTTTCAAAATAATGAGAAAAAACTGGATTTTTAAAAATCAAAGAGTTTTAATGTTTTTCAATTTTAACTCGTGATATTTTGCTAATTTTTGGTATTTTTTGATAAAAAAAATAAATTAAAGCTTAGAATGTTCTGAAACTGAATGAAGCATAAAAAACATTTTTTAAAAACCAAAAATAATAAAAAAAATTTCAAAACATATTGGATAAAAACTTTAAAAAATGAATAAATAAAAAAACGAGGAGGGGGGAAGGTCACCGCACAGTAATGGTCAATGAGAACAACATGACAAGTAGAGAACAACTAGATTTATTTTTATGATAAGGTTTACAATAGGAAAAGGTTAGGTGATTGGGGAAATTGAAAGAAATACAGAAAGAAAAGAAAAAAATTGTGAAACTACAACGTTTAAAAAATGTAGATTGCTTGCGAGGAAGCTGGGCTCACTTGATGAGGTCCACCAACGGAGGCAAGCAATGAAGAAGAGGAGAAGGCCCAGAAAATAACGTGGGCGATCACCCGTCGACAGTGTCCTTAAGAGAACACATTTAAGAAAAAAAGGAAAAATGAAGAAAAAGAAGTAGAAAAACAAACTGGATAAAACTCACAAAAGACGATTAGCACACTTTGTTTCGTTGACTGGTCGTGTGGTCCTCACTAGTAAAACTTCAGGCCACGTGTTTCCACTGAAGATCGGTGAAATTGATGGTCAAAAGGCGAGCCCCAACAAAACGATGTGGTTCCTCTGAGAGATCTGCAAGAAGAGAGCGCCTCGTTCGAAGCGTGTTCGCGTCGATGTGGGAGAATTGAGAAAAGTGATGGAAGGGGCGAGAGGTGGGGTCTTGTGTTCAGGCAAAATATGTTAAATAGTAGAAGCAAGGAGGGGCAAGCCAGTGGCGTAGGACAAAAAAGGAATAAAACCTTCAAGAATGAAGCGAGATTCCAAATCAATTTAATTGCATGAACAAAAACAACTGCGATAATTGTTTTTTATTTACCAGAAAATAAAACTTGAATTATACCGAAAAAATAAATGGTTTTTGACTGATCTTTTTAAACATTTGCCGCCCGCCTTTCGTTAAGCAACTAACGGAACAACCTGAAGATTCAGATATGTGTATAATTTAAAGTGTGTCAATTGGAATAGGAAGGAGACATAGTTTAACAATAGGTCTAGTAACGATTGTGGTGCCGGTCTTTACCGTAGCTACTCTGACAAGGCCATCTTTACCGGGATGAACATCCGTGACTCTTCCCAAAGGCCACTTGGATGGAGGGTATCGTTCGTCGACAACGAGAACCAGGGTTTCAACTTTAATATTATCCGTACTCTGATTCCACTTATACATTGACTGTTATCGTTGCAGACATTCCCGTGACCATTTACTCCAAAATTGCTGCGTCATTTAGCAGATTTGTTTCCAGCGGGAGAGTCGATTGATGTTCACATTTTCAATGTTTGGCTGAGGAATGAGTGTGAGTGGTTGGCCTATCAAGAAATGACAAGGGGTTAAGGCTGATATGACGTCAGGGTCGTCTTTAATGGGACAAAGTGGTCTAGAATTGAGGACAGACTCGATCTGTGCAATGACGGTTGGCATTTCCTCATAGGTAAGGGTTTTGTCGAACACAATCCTACGAAGGTGATGTTTAACAGACTTAACCCCCGCTTCCCATTTACCTCCAAAATGAGGGGCTGCAGGTGGGTTAAAGTTCCATTTAGCACCATCCTGTGTTAACATTATTAACATTTAAAGTCCCAATTGCATCATAACCGTAAAGTTTTTATGTTTTCCGCTTCAAATAAGTCGCCGTGGTTGTCATCTTTATTCACACATTTTCATTTTCATAACACAGTATTAATATTTATTTTAATCATTAGAATAAGTCAAAATTAATTTAAAAATTTATTTATTAACAATTAAAAATACTATAAATATTATAATTTGCTTGTAATTTAAGTGAGAAATTTAAAAATACCCCACACCAAACGACATTAAATTAGGAAATAAAAATTTTAATTTCCTACCACACAGGTTCGAGTTTACTAGTGGCGCCATCCTTTAATGACAGCTGCAAATCAGAAGGTCGGTAAAATAAAATTGTAATTTCCCACCAAGTGAGTTTGAATTCACCCTTAGCGCCTTCTCTTGGTGGCAGCCAGAACTTATTGGTCAGTAAAACAGAACGCCCTGACCAAACCACTTCAAAGTTATAAAATAAAAATTTTCCGCCAAGCGTAAAACAACGTGTCGTCTAAAATTGTATGAAAAATAATATATTTCCATAGAAATCGATAACTTAACTTATTTTTCCCTTCGCAATCGAACGTAAAATGATCATTTACGGTACGTAGTTACGAAAATACTGTGCATAACAGTTTAGTTCAAAAAGAACTTTGTTTGTCCTTGTTCACGTATTTTCGCAACGCTCGTGTAATTGAAATTCTTTCCAGTAGAGGCGTGGTAATGTTTTGCGTTGAGTTATCTACTTTTACTATTTCTTACAGCTGCAACGCAGCATCAGTTAAATCCTAAGAACCTTCTTGCAACTTGTCATTTTAAAACATGCCGTTATTTAAAATGTTAAAATTTATTATTATTCTTTTGAGTTGGCTTTTTATAAAATGCGAGTGGGAACCCTATCACGCAATAAGCTAGTAAAGTCTGATTGACAGTGGTTCTGTTATCCAAATTGTACACGCTTTTCTTAATAGTCTTAGAAGAGAAAAAGAGAATAAATTTTTTTTTCATTATTTGTTACAGCACTGGTTGGCAAAAAGGAAGAGAATGCCTTTTAAGAACAATTTGTGAGCTTGCCGAGACCCCCTTAGCAAGAAGTAGTCAGGACATTGTTGAGGACATTATTCATTTGCTTCTTACGTAAGTTGTATTTTTTCCTATTTTATGGTACTTTTTCAAAGTAAACTTTAATTAATGAATTTTGTTTGCGTGTAGGATAAAGTAAATTATATTTACTAATTTCATCATAATTAGGTATACAGTGAGAAAAAATATGACTTTCTTACAGAGCCCTATCTTGAGTATTAATTTATTGTTTTCCGTTAGTTTTACACAATTTTTTAAAATCATTGTTTAGAGTTTCTTTCGAGATAACAAAAAATATTGTTTTTGGAAAAGAAAATCGATTTTTGTGCGGAAGAAATATTTTATTTGAAAAAGAAAATTATTTTTAAAATGTTTTTAAGTTTGACAAACGAATCGCGCTTTTCGAAATTGCTAACTGATTCAATGAAGTAGAGTATTTAATGTTATTCACGAATGAAGAGAACCGCGGAAGGGGCCAACTGGTATCGGGTAAAGGAACTGTTGAATTATCATAAAATGCAATTCGTAGGACTCGTATTTTGAAGTAGAAAATTGTGCTTCTTTAATTTGATTCAGGAAATATGTTTGCAAGTTATCAGTTGAATTATCGAAGCGACGCGCCAACCATTCCGCCCGTAATTTAACACGAATCGGAATCAAGAAGATCTTCGACAAGAATTTTAATTTAAAATACGCAAAATTAAACAAATTATTCGGCTGCGATTCGAACCAGGCGTGTACAATCGATCTATTTCTACCCGCAATTCATTAATAACAATGGCATTATTTCCTGAATTTCCAGCGTTATTGAAAGGTTCACCCTGAGGGCACGTCATTTTGCACGTATTTTTACGACGATCAAATTTTAAACCTTCCAATAAAATTACCTTACGAGAACGCGTTTCGCTCCCCAGAATTTGTTTCATAAAATAAATACACAAAACAAAATTAACCATTTTCAATCACACAAAATATTTGGCACTTATTCAGGTCCCTGTTTGGGCGCCATTTATGTCACAAACTTACTAATAAGATCAAAGAAATGAATACAATTGAACAAATGGATAATACAAATTTACAAACGCTGAAATGGATAAGAAAAGTAATAAAATCAAATAACGAATTCCATAAATAACGTTATACATACATAAGTCAAATTAAAAAATAAGCTAGGCCAATATGCAATTAATAGATGATAAAAATTAAAATATACGTAAAAACGTTCAAAAACAAATTAAAATAAAATTATGTGCCTCGTTTTAGCCGCTTTTTCTCTTATATGTAAAAATTAACCATACGAGTTTTTGATAATAATTTACCTAAAAAATAAATTTTTTTTTAAAGATCATTAATTATGAACATGGATAATCTATTCAGTTTAAATTATGCAGGCCTTCCGAAGACTTACCGAGGACTGGTTATTCGAATAAATGGAGCGTCAACAAACTATATCATGAAGCTGAACGATTAGGAAAGTCTGGAGGTGACTGCATTCTCACTTACCCGAATTGCATTGAATCACCGTTGGAGTCATTTACGCAAATTGTATTTCCTTAAGGATTTTCCCCTCTCATTAATTTTCTTAACAAAAAATTAAAAGACAACACCCCATTAAAAGGATTTATTGGTAAAATTTAGAAATAAAAAATTATACACGAAGAGAAAAGTTGCAGTTAATTTGACGGAACACGTTTAGTAAAGAAATATACTTCGCTAATAGTGGTGACAACTGAATGTTTAGTATAACATACTATACCACCTTTCTTTTTAGTAAAATATACTGAATTCAGTTTTTAAAAAAACTGACACTACATTTTCAAAAAAAAATTATGACTAAGTTATGGAATTAAGAACAACTCCTGTAAGTTTCGTAATGGGCCAACATAAACTTTACGAGAACAAAAAAAATTGTTCTGCGCGGCATGTCTGGCGCAGCGCAAGCGATCTGGTGCCGCACATTTGCAAAAAAGTGTACATTTTCGTTTTAAATCACTCTACAGGTCACAATGTTTTATCAAAATGATTATTATTTTTTTCATATCTTCATAATTAAATTCTTTACCGATCTTTCGAGTCCGATTTTTGAATTTTTGATTTTAAATATATTTTTTTTAATAACAATAAGTATTACAAAATCCAAAATCGTAAACAATATGTTCTTAGCTTCATTAATTAAAAAAAAAATTAATGTACATATTAAAAAAAAGAAACATCCTCGTCGAAGCGAGTACGATTAGATACTAATTCGCAGTACAAGTAAAGAAAATTTTTTTTTCTTTTTTTTTATCAAAAACCCTATAAAAATAATTCTTGAGTGTTTTTGATGTACAAAAAAGTAGAACAATTTATGAAATTGTTTAAACAATTAATTGTTATTTTTTTCATAAACTGTACTTAGGGCTAGAATTTTCTATCTTTTGCCTATTTTTAAAAAATATTCAATTCCTAAATAAAAAGAAATGCTTATGAATCTTTATCTCTTCCGATTTACCTTAAAGATTATCTTGTCTTGCCTTCTGTTTAAAGATGTGTCATTCACCCCATCTTCATCGATTTACATTTGTCCATTCTTTACTTGTACTGCGAATTAGTATCTAATCGTACTCGCTTCGACGAGGATGTTTCTTTTTTTTAATATGTACATTAATTTTTGAAATAATTTTTTTCTATATTCTTACAGTAAATTTTTTAAAAAATTATATCTCTTTATCTTTATAACATTTACTATGCGAATCTTAATATTTATTTTCACTTATATATGTTTAATAAAATTGTAGTTTCTGAAGAGGACAGCTGTGCTTTTGAAACGTTAAAAAGAATTGTTCTTTTTTTCCTATCCTAAACCTTGACTCGGAGTGATCGTTAACTTTAATTTTTTAATTTAGTTTATTACATTAACATTTAATTAATGTCTAGTGTGAAAATTTGCCCAATGGACAATTTGGGCCAGATCTGGGTTCTCATTTAAGGAAAAATAATAAAATTGAAAACTTTAGTTAATTATTACACCTATTAATACTTAAATAATGTGTTCTATGAATAAATAAAATGTATGTACCCACGTGAAAAGGTTTCCTGAATTTTTGCTGATAGACAGTTGAAAATTTGCGGAATGACTGCGGAGTTACTTCCGGAATTTTTTTAAATAGTTAAAGTTGAGTTTTTATCATTTACGTCAAATTAAATCAATTATTTTTGGGAAATTGAATATTTCTGGTTAGTTTACTTTAATTCAACTCCAAAAATTTACTTATTGTTTATTGGATATCCAGATCAATTCGTATTAACTCATGTAAGAAAGTTTACTTAACAAGTCACTAAGTAATTACCAGCATATTCAGGCTTGTTGAGATCATCTTGTTCAAGGAAGATGATCTTTTTTTAAAGGTTAATGACCAAAAAATAAGTAGGTGTCTAAAGGATATTTAGATAAATATTTTAATCAACATTCTCAAGGAATTTAACCTCAAACAGACGTTTTTGGATATAATGGAGTCCAATTCATATTAATACTCTTGTCAGTCTCTCCGAGAATCAAAGGTGCTAATTTAAATACACTTCTTTTTACACTTAAAAATATTTTTTCCTTTTTAAAACATTTAAATTTTTTTGAAAAATTTATTATTTATTATTATTTTGTATTATTATTTATTAGAATCGGAATTAGTGCCTGCGGAATGGACTCGAAAACATGCATTTATGATACGTATAAAAAAGGGAAAAATGGGTTACATCAAATTATAGATCCATTGCCTTATTCAACTCTATTTTATTCCAAAATTTTTTACATAAATTAACTACAATCAGGCTTGGCTTAAAAATGGTTAATTTAGTGTTAGTTTCTTACAAAAAATTTTGGAAAAAATTGATCAATGCATATATTGTTAAACATAAAAATTTTGTTTAAAATTTTTTTAATGTTATCGCAAATTATTAAAAAAAAATTTTCATATTTTTATTTAAAACTACGTGTGAAAACAAAAATTTTTGCTACAAGAACGTACAATTTGATTAATTTTTAGCTGAGTTATAAGCACTTCAAACAAACAAAATTATTAACAATAATAATTAACAAATAATTAACAAACAAATTAAAACGTAATTTTTCAAAAATCTGTATCTTTTAAATCGCTTTATGAAAAAATTTGAAAAAATCATAGAAGCTCATTTCAACGGGCACTGAAAGAAAAAAAAATTTTAAAAAAATTTGAGATACAAAAGTAACATGATTTCCGACTTGGTATACTTACCGCTGGTAATCAGTGAAATTTCGCTAATTCAAAATTAGAGAGTATTTTCATAAAATAAAAGAAGAGTGTGTTTGTACAACTCAAATTTCATTTTCAGACGAGATTTGACAGGAGTTTCCACTCACCTGTTTGACAAGTGAATTGCGAATCAACTCGTCTGATGAAAATGAATGTCAAAATTATTATCGTGATTTTACTAAGTCTAAGGTGGACTTGGCGAATCAATGGTAAAGGAGCTGATGAGAGAAGAAAGAGACAATCTCTGTATTCACCACCTCTTGTATATCCTAACGGAGGTATTTTCAAGGTAGGGAAAAGCTTTTTTTGATCAAATTTGTACTTTTTTGTCATTGGTTTCAAAAAGATAAATCGAGAGAATGAAAATTGGCCGAATAATTTTACGTTAGAAGATGGAAGATGAACAAAAGCATTCGGACAAATAAATTATACAAATTAAAATTTTATAAATGAAAGAATAAAATTAAATAGTCAAGTTAAAGTTAACATACCTATAAAAGAATAATAATCAATTTCTGTTATAAATAAATTTATTTAAAATAACATTCAAATTATAATAACACACTACAGAAAAATGTTAAAAACTGTCAAATATAATAAAACTCTGTGTGCAAAGTCAACGTTCAAAATAGACTCCAAACACTATTGAGACAATCTTACTGAGCAATATTTCTGTATGATTACTGTGCAAAAATTTGAGAATGGTAGTACTCAGTTAGTACACAATACACTTCTCTATCAATCATTTAAAACAAAAGACACTTAAAATATCTGATTCTTATCTATTTCTGAAAGATATGTATTAATTATATGCTTCAATTTAGTGAAAAATTTATGCCTCCTTTATTAATTCATTTGTTTTTACACTCGTATTTAAACGTGGTCAGCAAAAGTGATATCAGGAAGGGGATACATTTTGCCATATTGCTTGATATTTAAGCAGCAACTGTATTGGGACCATTAAAACGAAAAACACATCATTGTCATAAAATTGGTATTCATTCATTCTTTCTTTCCCATTAAGTAACAGCTTTTCCGATTTTATTTTTTTTTAGTTTAATACTGTTTAAACTAACAAATATCTGATTTGCAGTTTAATCTAATAATCAAAAAGATCTAAAAGTCTTGTGATGGTGGCAATCCATTGAAATGAAACCAGGACACCAGCCATTTCTTTTGAATTGTTCGTATTTATATTTAAAAAGAATATTGGCACAAGTAAGACTGATCAATAAACAAAGAAATAGACTTTTAATTGTAAATAGTAAGGTTATAGTTTTTAAATGATTAATTCTGAAGAATTCCGACTTTAGACACTGATAATTTGTGTTTAGAATTATATTCTTGGTATAAATTACTACAAAATTTTCATGCATGGAAGCGATATCATCGGGTACTTCAAATTGCCAATTACATGGTTTTCAGAAGAAGCCCAAGAGGCTAGTAATAAAGTGTAATAAGATTTTTGATTTTTTTTAATTCTTCAATTGTAATCAATTTTATAAATTTTTAATAAAATCAAAACTTTATAGAGACTTATTGATTTGCCTTCGTACAAATAATTTAATTTTATCATATACCATCTTCAATTCATGTAAAGACAAATGTTTTTATCTAAAATATGAAATTTAAGTACTTTTTTATTCTTAATTTTTTGTGATCAAAATCATGAATAAAATTTGTTATTAATGTTTAAACCCTTTTTCCCTGTTTCTCAGGTCTGAAAAAAATTATTAATAATATAATAAAACTTTCCTGAAATTTTCAGCTTGGCGTTATTTTTCATTTTTGAGAAGAAAATTCTTAAACATTACAATGCAGGTGCAAAGTGCAGCCACTATTGGAGTTATTATTAAATATGGAAAGAAATGTTAATTTATACATTTAATAATATATACATATTATACATTTAATATGTTTAATATATAATAATTTAACAAGAAATTTTTTTTAAGTTTGGGAAAAGAGGGCCCTGTCTTCGCCCTCTTCAGTGAGGTACAACCAGCTCATTACTTTTAAAAAACATGAAATAATTTAATGTGCTTTTTAACTGTAATTTATTTAGCTATTTAAGTACTAAGGAATAAAAAGGAAAGGATGCTTAGGACAGATTTTATTTAACAGCACTTTTGGTTGATCGTTTTCATCAAGCTCTGATTGATATATTACGAATGGATGAACTGTAACTTGTTGATTATTCCAATATGGTTGATAAGACTTTTTAAACTTTATTCAGATTTGCTTGATACTTACTTTCAAGAGTTAATGCTTTTTAGAAATCTAAGATCAATTGGATAATTGTAAAAACTGAGTTGCTGACTAATTAGAAATTTTTGTTGTAAAATTAGCAGGAGTTTTATAATAAACATATTCCAGTTTATTAATTTTAAAAATTTCTCCGCTAATTATTAATCCACAATCTAAATTTAAAAATAGACTAAAGATTGGTAATCAGGGACTACAACAACCTCCGAGTAACAAGTTTCGTGACAAGCTAATAAATTTTTACATTTGTCATCTGTCATATTGGATCCGCAATTTCGAATTTTTAAAAACGAACATCAGCGATCCCTAAAACCCCCGAGTGATAAATTTCATGTAAAACTAACCAATTTTTAAAAAATCGTCTGTCATATTGGATCCGCTATTTTGAATTTTTATAAACTGATGTCATATTCGTAATCAGCGACCCAAAAACCCTCGAGTAACAATTTTTAGTCGATTTTAAAATGTTTTAAAAATTCGTGAATTTAAACAATAATTTATGAATTTTTTTAAACAATAGGAATTTTTTAACATGATCTAGGTTACATATTTTAAAATCCCTATTCTTCTTAAAGAGAACGCACTAAATTTGACTCAAAAATATTAATTTTCGTCAAAGATATTGAGGTTTTTGTAGGTGGGACGTATACGTTCCACCGCCCCTCAAAGAGTTACTTGCACTAATGTTAACATGGCCAAAATGTTCATGCCAGAGTTTCAGTTTGTTTATCTCTGTTTTCACTTCCTTATTCGAGATATTACACTCTGTTGGCATTTTAGTTTTAAACTACATTCTAAAAAGTTTACCTTGACGTACACCACACGACACATTACTATAACTTACACTTGCAGCACATAACAAAGAGGAGTTTTCGACCACTTTTGTATAAGTTTTACTATGTCCACTTTTATTGTTTCTTTTCTTTGGGCACTCTTTAAACTAATGTCCTATTTCTTTGCAAATTTTGCACTTGGTTCTCTTTTGCCGTCCTGATTTAAAAACACCATATCCACATTTTTTGTTGTTTCGAGATAATTAACAATATACGTTTTTATTTATATCTTCTTTAACATAATGTTTTTTTAAATTGTAATAATGATGCTTCTTGAGTAATTCGAGTACGCTGAATTTTATTATGCAAAAAAAAATTTCAATTTTTCATTGGCTACATGCAAAACTGTAGATCTGCTAATTAATTAAGTGAAAAATCGCGGCGAACCCTTACTAAAAAGCATATCTACGCAGATAAAAGCATATCTACGCAGATATGCTATTTAGTCAGGAGAACAGCTCAAGCACGGTCGACTTTCCTGATGCAGAGGTACACTAACTATAAACACCTAAAAAAGTTTAGTTTTGAAAAAATGGATTAAAGTGTACAATTTTTTTTATTTTGTGTAATTAAAATTCGTTTTTTAATTTCTAACAGGAAAAAATGAAAATACCTGCAGAAGGTAATGAATAACATAATTTTGATTAAAATAAATTAAATTTTATTCAATTCCCTGTTCACCTTTTTAATATAATTAAATGATTAATTTTTAAAACCTTAACAATTTTTTTAAAATCCCATTCAAAGATTAAAATGTTTAAATACTATTGATTCTATTTTGAGGAGATGTGTGTAATTTAAAAGTAAGCACTTATCTTTATGTTCTTTATTAATTAACTAACAAATGATACGCTCGCAAGCGCGCGGAATGTGGTATTCCATTTACTGTTATTATGCAAATTACAAAACTTTTTACTTCCAAATATGAAATTTTTTAAAATTTCAGATTCAAACTTTAAAAAAAATTCAATTATTAACTAATTTACTGATTAATTATTCTTGTTTATTAATTTCAAAATTTTTAATGAAATTTTTAATAAAATAAAATTATTTTTTTAAAGCAAAATCTTTGCAAAAATTTAATTATTTAAAAAAAATTTCACAAAAGAATTTAATGTTTTTTCTTAATTCGTTATAAAATATTTCAAAAATTAAATTATTTTCTAAAATTTTATGAAAGAATTCAATTTTTTATAATTTTTAATAATATATTTCGTAAAAATTCAATTACTTGCTAAAATTTCAAAAAATCCATCGAAACAATTCAGTTGTATTTATAAATAATAAAATTTAATTATTTTCATAAATAATAACATTCTTTGAAAGAATTCAATTATTTTTATAAATAATAAAATTTTTGGAAAAATTCGCAATACTTTTCAATAAAATTTTAATAAAATTTCACGAAAAAATTAAATTTTTTCAAATTTTTAATCAAATTTTTCTATAGAATCCAATTATTTTCTACAATTTTAATAAATCCTTCGAAACAATTCAATTATTTTTAAATATTTCAGTAAAATTAATCGCCAAGTATTAATTACAAAAAAGAATGCAAATATTAAAATGATACCGTAAGAGAGGCTAATTTCGCTCATGTAAATTAATTTTATTAAATTCGCTCAACAAATATCTATTTTTTAAAATTCGATTAACATACTTTTTAGACAGAAATATTTAAGATTTACAATTGTTTTGGTTAATATAAATAGTAAACATTATTTTTAAATTTATTTGAAGCAGATTCATTGATAACTTTTAATAAAAATTATATTTAAACCACAAGTTAGTAATTTTCATATTGATCAAGTAGTATGAAAACGTAGGTAATAAAGCTTTACTTCAAAATTTTTAAGTTGAATCCTTCTGAACATTACATTTCCTGTATCTCCAACATAATTTTCATAAAGCACAAAACTGAAAGCAATAAATACATTCTGCAAAAAATCAATTTAAAAAAAATTCAAATTTGTAGTGTAAATTCGCTCAGGAAATAAGTCTACAAAAAAGATGTTTGGGCCTGGATATTTTAAGTATGTTAATTATTTTAATTTATAATTCGATTTTTTTTAATAATAGTACTTTTATAATTGAAAATTAAACGATTTAAAACGGTTTAAGCACTAAACTGTCAAACTTAACCTTATTTTTTATGGTTATGAGTACGTTTAATTGAATAATTGAATTTAAT